TTACATGACAGCTGAGCATTACCCATGGTAAGTGCAGTAAAAATCAGTAATTTAACAAAGTCAATAAAGACAGAATATAATAAAGATAACAATCACTGCCACTAATATAAGTTCACCAATTGAAAATAAAATTTAAAATTTCGTCTACCAGTGGTATCGCTCTTGTTGACCTTGTTGTGGTCGGTGTTTTGATTAGTGACTTGACATCTTCAGGTTCATACTGTTCACAGTCTTCTACCTAGTTTCTCCTAAGATTTATGGAAAGAACAATCAATCTACATATGAAAGCGTTAACAGCAATCTGGTCAAATATCCATAACCAAAGCAGTCAAATAAAGTAATTCAAGAAAATTAGGCTGAATAGGTTGATTTAAAAAAATGCAACCTGACATTCAAAATAATCAGGGAACGTTTGACCTTATAACAAAATGGCAGACACTTTTTTATAAGAAGTGTTGTAGCGAAATTAGTAGAATTTTGAAAACCAATTAATTATCTGGAGGCAGATTCAAGTAATTTGGAAACTAATCGAGTACTACGGCGTACCTCAAATATTCATCAACCTGATTCAACAGCTGTACGACAACGGCACATGTCAAGTGATCCACAACGGAAAACTCAGCGAAGCGTTTGGAGTAAACATAGGAGTCAGACAAGGGTGCTTATTATCACCAATGATATTCCTAGTTGTGGTGGACTGCATTATGCATCAGACGGTGAGAAACGAGAAGACAGGGATATCCTGGACCGACGTGAAGAACCTAGAAGACCTGGATTTCGTGCGTGGATGATTTATGTTTGATGTCACACAAAATCGAAGACTTACAAGCGAAAACCGACAAACTGGTCGAAGAAGCAGCAAAGACAGGACTCCAGGTGAACATAGACAAGGCAGAGGTTATGAAAATAACCAACCAACAACAACAGCAGCAGCAACATCCAGTGCCAATTACCATCAACGGGAGGGATTTGAAAGAGGTTACTTCATTCACTTCACTTATCTAGGGGGCATTGTCTCAACTACAGGAGGAACGGACGAGGATGTCAAATCGAGAGTCGGAAAGGCGAGAAACACATTCATCAACCTGAAACCAATCTGGAAATCTTCGTCACTCAGCCTGCATCAACAACAAAATTCGAATTTTCAATACAAACGTCAAGTCAGTCAGTTTTGCTATACGGATCAGAAACTTGGCGGGTCACAAAAAATATTTCCAACAGGCTGTTGCAGACATTTATCAACAGCTGTCTCCGTTCCATACTGAAGATCAGATGGCCGGAAAGAATCACCAACAAGAAACTATGGGAACAAACAAACGAAATAAGAACCAATCGCCCAACAAATATGCAGGAGAAAGTGGAGATGGATTGGACACTCACTGGCTGAGGAGGCCGCTGGGTGACATCGCGCGTCAGGCCATAGCTCGAGTGGAACCCGAAAGGGAAGCGGCGAGTGGGACGTCCAAGGGTGACATGGAGGAGATCGTGTGAAGAAGAGTTGAAACAGTATGGAATAACGTGGATGCAGACGAAAGGTATGGCAGAAGACAGAAGCAAGTGGAGACGTGTAGTTGAAGCCCTGTGTTCCACTAGGAACCCAAGGGAAGAATAATAATATAAAATTCAAGCTTTCATTGACTATTTCCAACTATTTGCTTGATGGTAGCTAATGGTGGATAAGCGATACTCATTTCATCTTGTTTAGGAATCGTCAATAAATTTTACCATGACGAATTTTATTGCCTAATAACCACTTGCAAGTACATTCATTGATGATAATGACTTTATATTAAATAGGAGATAAGTATCCTGAATAATCATTGGAACTTTTGAACTTCCACGTTTTCTTAACGTCCTATTCACACAGGAAACACTGTCATATCATAACTTCCAGACAAGATGAGACGATAGACACCACCTGCCACATAACACCAGCTATTATGAAACTGAACTATAGGCGGTCATCTGTACTACTGTGCAGCATATATGTTACATTACATTTACCATCGGAATGCATTCAACCATTAACAACTGTTGTCAGTGTTCACACTATACATTAATCACGTATAAGTAGTATATACGGCATTTATATATGCTTGAACATTCGTTGGTTTAATCATGCTGTTTTCGTTATTCTTGCTATCCCAGATCGCCTCACTTTTCCATCCTTATTATTGATAAAACCATTATTATTATTATTGCTACTGCTATTATGACTAATTGCACAGTTTATGTGCACCATCTTATTATCCTATAGGCAAAACACCATGATTGGTTTATATCTGAATTTTTATTTCTAAAGTTATGTATATTAGATGGAAAACAATATTGTTCGCTTCACTGTGTTGTACTAAATTTATACATGCTGTTATTAATTACTGCTGTTTTAGGATATTCATAATTTACAGCTAAACCGAACTAACATTACCATAGTGTGGCAAGTCATTGAAAAGGATTTCTCACACTTTTGCTATAATGGAGACTCTTCATAACATGAACTCCTTTTCATTATAATAAAGGTTTTTTGTATTTCCCAGTGAATGAAAAACAAAACGATATTGTTGCTTTTATTGGTGTTTCGCTATTTAATGCTAATAACTTTATCAAAATATTATAAAACCAGAATTTGCAAAATCTCAGGTTATATATCACAACTTAATCATCGTTCCTCAGCATGGGATCAATTTTGCATTGTCAAGTTGGTTATTTGGTAAAGAAAACAAAACCACGTGTAGATTGTTGGATTTGATAAGGGTATAAAATTATAAAAACAGCAGGTGTTTGCATAATGAAACTGCATATAATATTCGTATTTCCTGATTCCAGGTAGGTAAGCATCGTTTCAACTACAGGCGGAACTGATGAAGATGTCAAAAGCAAGAATCGGAAAAGCAAGACAAGCTTTCATTACTCTCAAGTCTCTGTGGAGGTCAACAGCACTCAGCATCAAAAATAAGATCAGGATTTTCAAATCCAATGTGAAGTCAGTGCTACTATACGGATCAGAGACTTGGCCAGCGCGTCATAAAGAGCATCTCAAACAAACCACAGACCTTCATCAACAGCTGCTTTCGCTCAATACTCAAGATCAGATGGCCGGCCAGAAAAGAACAGCAACAGAGATCTCTTGGAGTGAACCAACCAGGAACCGACTGTGAACCAAACAGGCAGGAAGAAATGGAGATGGATTGGCCATACTCTGAGGAAGCCTTCAAGTGACATCGCTAGACTAGCCATTGTTCGAGTGGAACCCGAAAGGGAAGCGGCGAGTTGGTCGTCAGTGCAAGGGTGATTTGGAGGAGGTCATGGGAAGAGGAGATGAAAGCATGTGGGCAGACCTGGAGCCAGATGAAAACTTTAGCAGAGGACCGAACGCAATGGAGACGCACGGCTGAAGTCCTATGTTCCTCTAGGAATTAAAGGAAATAATAATAACATTCGTGTTGATTTCGTCATTTCATGGGGGAGGAGGGTGTTATAACCGGGTATAATTCTATTTTAGTTCATCAGAGCATGATGCATGTCAGTTTTCAATTCAAACTATCTTCATAAAAGATATCCCATTTTTCAAATCCTAAACTTAAGTCTGGCCAAATTCTGGAAACATAGAATGGATTCAACAGGCTTCATCAAGAGCAGCAATAACCACCTTAGAAGTAGTCGAGAGTGAATGTCCCAAAAACTCAGCATTATTGATTATTTTTGGTGTTTTTCAAAAGCTTGTCATCTCAAGAACTTTGAGTACTTATCTGTTAGATAAAAGGAATTCTTCATTATAATATAAATGGCTTAAGTGTTGGTTTGTACGGACTTTATGTGATTGGTTACAGGGTTTCATAATTACCTGACATCGATTAGAAAACCTTTGGAAAACCTGGGATTACTGGACAGTATTTGTCCCCACGCGCAACCTGCTGTATCCCACTGGTCATGACTTCTCAATCGAATCCAGATAACTACCTACCTGAACAGATAAGTCCCTAGTAAACATCAGTCTGATTGACAGCAGGTTGCGTCAGAGATGACATTGGCTACTGGTCGCGCTATATCGTAAATTGGCACAAGTTGGAATTCATGAGTGAGCCATTGGATTGGATTTCAGTGGCTTAGTGGTCTACAAGCTCTCCTCGTAACCGGGTGGTCCTAGATTCCAACCCCTGTGGTGGGTACGCACCGCCGAAGAGCCCCATAAAAGCTGTCAAGTTCTTCCAGATGGTTACAGGATTTCATCATGAGCTGACATTGTTTAGAGAACCATTGGAAAGCCTGGGAGTACTGGACAGCTGTTTTGTCCTAGTTTGGGACTCCTTAGCAGTACGCACCCACCTGGGTTCGAACCCAGGACCTTCTGGTTACAAGGCGAGCTCGTAGACCATTAAGCCACTGAGACTCGATCCAGCGGTCCACGAATTCTAACTTCTGCCAATTCACGATATAGCGCAACCGCTAGCCAATGTCTTTGGCGAGTATTTGGCCTCACACCCGACCTGCTTCACCCTACTTATCAGGACTTCCCACTGGAACCCCAGGTAACTACCTACCTGAATAGGGCCAGTCGCCAGTGAGCATCTCATTGATATTCAATTATTGGTTTGTAGGGATTCGGTTCTTCAATGGTTCTCTAACCGATAATAGCTAATAATGAAATCCTGTAACCAATAAATGGTTTACTTTAGAGTCGGAATTTGAATGGTAAGCTAGCTGCAAAGCATTTTAGGGTCAGTAATATATTTTATTTAGGTGAAAAGGCAAACAAACAAGCGGTAGGAAGACATCGGACTTTAAAGCCATGTCTTTCTGTACAGCTTTCTTTCATTGACCATAAAGTCCTCTAGAAACGTATACAACTCTAAAAATGTGTCAAACTTCAGACACTTAACATGCAATTAGATCACGAAAATTTCTCTCAAACCTGTCGTGTGGGAACTGGCTTTACTTTAAAAGAGACATCAATAGTAATCGGAAAACTAATCTCTTTCTGTTGTCAGTTGCCTTCTTACCTTGACATTGTACATCCAAGAATCTTTCCTGAATACTGTTCCTCTTGACTAGCTGCTACTAAACATGGACGTCCATAACTGGTTGTTGGTGTATTCAACGCTCCAAAACCACACAGTCTATGCTGAAATGTTCCCCATTTCGGTGTATCTTCAATATAATGTGTTACATAATTACCGAATTCAGAAAATTCCCTCCAAATCCAAGGATAGTTGTCCAAAACGGTATAATTATCATTCTGTTTCAAATTTGTAATATTTTTATTGAATTTCATATATGATTTTCTTGATTCAGGTAATTCGGATTCTAGTTGTCCGGTTAAAAGTCCGAGTAAGTTGACTGTTGTTCCATCGCCTATCACATTATAAATATTCATTGTAGTGGCGCTTTCATTAATTTCCTGAAGGAATTTCATTGTTTTAACGAAATACCGATAGGCTGATAGACGCGAAATTGAATCAATGCCTAGAAGAAGTATATTATACATTAATTTATTGTTATTATTATTACTATTACTATCAGGGGATGGGGGCAGTTCAGTAGGAGTTTTTTCTTGTTTTGCTATTGGTGGATATGAACCACATATGAATAAGCGTTCCAACTGATTAAACTTCACATTATTATGATTATTCCAATTAAAATGAAATTTACTAGTGAGTATATTCTCTTTTGGTTGACACAATACCATAAACATTGGCCAATCGGATTGATAACCATCATAAATGTGTTCAACAGCATTTAAAAATATTGATTGGTAATCATTCAGACGTTTTATTGGAAATAATGAACATATAACGGGACTATGACTGTTATTCAGACTAATATTACCATGTAATATTTTTAATTTTCCTTTATGAAATGATATAAATTCATGGATGGGAAGTGTTTTATTTATAAGCGAATAGGACTTGAACAATTCAGTTTGCTTGCATACTGGTAAAGTTATCTCATTTCTGTGCTTATAATCTTTTTGCTTTGGCCATAAATCCATTTGTGGAATTGAACATTTACTGCTTTGCAAGTGATTTTGTTTAAATGTTTGCAAATTAACGCCATTGAATATTTGTAGTGAATTCAAATTGTTTAAATATAATAAGCTGCTTAGCAGTGTATAAACACACATACATAATAAACAGAATAGAATTCTTGTTTTTGTAAAATAAGGGATTTTTATTAACATTTCACAATGATTTCTTTTATGTGAGAAACATGAATAAGCAGAATAATAATAAAAATAATGACGTAGGTATTGTACACCTGATTTTCTGTCAAACAGAATTCCAACATGATTGGATTCTTGTAAAACGGATCAATAAGTGAAATTCTCTTCTTAGGTGTTTATGATTGGTCGGTCAATCTCATTGGGCAATATTTTAAGGAAATATTTCTTTTTTGTCCAATTAAGAACAAATCAGATTAAATGGATAATTTCAAAAATTAGGCTATGACTAATTCATTAAACTACCTTAAATATTCATAAAATCCTGAATGAATTAACAAAAAAATAGGCAAATATAAGAACCGATTAATGAGCAGTTCAAGAAAGTAAAAATAATGGATATCTTAGTAGAAAAGTGAATTAGATAGGTAAGATTGGGACTGTTTTTAAATTCAGCAAAGTAGTCATAAATTGATTTTATAATTAAATGCTGTATCCGAAACGACCGTTGTTTTATGAAACTTTTTGAATGACATCAGTATTCTTGCTACTGAAAATCCCTTAGACAGCTTTAAGGGATTACAATAACTATCCGAGACAAAACAACCAACTTCACTGTTGCGTATCCCTCTGTAATGCAACTTATTTTACCTGAGATGACTTCAATATTCTATGATCGCCTGCAGCCAGCTGAAGTGCTACGTGGCAGCAGCTGGCAGCAAAAAACATGGTACCAGGTAGACAACATTTCATATGCCGATTAACAACATAAAAAGACCCCAGGAACACAGGAAGCATCATCCTGGAAAACAGTTCAGTGATTCACTAGTTTTTTTTCAAGCTCATGTTCAAATGTTAATCCACACCATCCTAGCAAGACTAAAGGATGACTGAGATTGAAGACTTCACCTGAAACAGGCTGCATTCTGATAGAATCAAGTCATAATGGAATCAATTAGCTACACCACGCAATGGCAGACAATCAACTGCCTTCCTCAGCTTCACTGATCTTGAAATGCCTCATGCAGTATCTACCGCTGAGTGATTCGAAAACTGCTTCAACACTGCTAAGTGATGCGTTATAAGAAGTTATAACAGCTATACGATGATGCGGATACCAAGTTATTTACGATGGAAAGCTTAGCGTAGCATCTGAAGTGAAGATAGGAATAAGGTAAGACTAACTACCATCACTTATGATCACCCTGATTGTAGATGACTGAATCATGCAATGGACCGTGGCGAACGACATTACGGACACAGGCTGGATTGAGAAAAAGACAGTGTACTGCATAGGTGACTTACGTTCAATTTCACACAAACTTGAAGATTTGCAAGCGAAAACAAACAAGTTTGCAGAACAGGTAGCGAAGACAGGAATTCAAGTGAATATCGAGAAAACGGAGTTGACAAAGATTCCCAACCAACAACAACGAGCACTAATCACTATCAAAGGGTGCTATGAAGTCACCGAGTGACAGTACGAATGCCAATTTACCATATGAATGCTCGATAATTTCCTGATCAATTATCCCATGACCCGAACCAGTAAAGTCCAGAAGACTCATGCACTAGGGTTGGGAACATATATTTCCAAAACAAAGTGAGCAAGAAGGCGACCAAGAGTACATAAATATGTGGCACATATTGTTCCAGTCACAGGTATGGGACAGTAGATTTCAAATGCATGCTGGACTTTGAAAAAGTTGACACTCATCATGCAACAAAATGTGATTTGTTTTTATCCGACTGACGAACTAATGAGACAAATTATGGACCTCTTAGACTGACAGACTAATGAGATAAATTGTGGATACATATCAATAGGAGGTCAGACAAAGCATAGGATGCCAGCCAAACCTCCACCTCAAATTCGTCAACTTCGAAAAGGTCTTTGATAGAGTTTACCGAGAAGTAATTTGGAAACTACTCCAACAATATATAAACCAGCGCGCAAATCTTCATCAAACTCATTCAGCAGCCACATGACAATGTCACATGTCAAATGATTCACAAGGTAAGACTCAGCAAAGCCTCTAAGTGCATACAGGAGTAAGACAAGGCTGCCTATTACTAACCACGATGTTATTCCTTATTGTGGTGAACTGGATCATGCACCAAACTGTGCACATGGAGTAAGGAGACAGGGATACGCTGGACCACCGATAAGAAGACTCTAGAAGATCTGGATTTTGCAGATGATTTATGTTTAATGTTACACGAATTTGAAAACTTATAGGCGAAAACCAACGAACGGATGAAGGAGCAGGTGACGAAGACAGGACTGTTGGTGAACATAGAGAAGGTGGAGACGGAGGCGATGAAGATAACCTACCAACAGCAACCACAAAAACAACCACCACCAATTACCATCGAAGGGAGAAAGAAGGACTTGTTCACTTCCTTCATTTATCTCTCCAGGAAGCATGGTTGCAACCACAGCCAGAGGAACTGATGAAAACTACAAATCCAGCCGGAATCGGAAAGGAAATATCGACCGTCATTAACCTGAAATCTGTCGGGAAATCTTCTGCAATTAGCAGCAGAAAGAACAAGATTCGAATTTTCAACACCAATAATAATCATTCATATCTTCTATATGGATCATAAACTTGGCCAGTGAGTCACAAAAGGCATTTTCAACAGCCTAATGCCGACTCTTATCAACACTTACATTTGCTCCATATTGAAGATCAAATGGCCAGAAATAATTAGTAACAAGAAACTCTGCAGTGGAACAAGCCAACCAAGAGCCGATCGCACAACAAATATGTAGGAGAAAATGGGGATGGGTTGGGTGCTGTCTGAGGAGGCTGTCGAATGACGTCGCGCGCCAGGCCATAGTTCAAGTCGGATCCAAATGGGAAGCGACTAGTGGGTTGACAGTGAGAGGATGACATGGAGGAGATCATGTGAGGAGGAGATGAGAGATTATGGGCAGTCATGGACTGAGCTGAAGGTGACAGCGGAAAATAGGACAAGGTGGAGATGTGTTATTGAGGCTCTTTGTTCAACTCGGAACCCAAGGAAACAGTAATATATAACAATCAGTGGGAGAAATTTGAACGAAGTTACCGCTTTCATTTATCTAGACAGCTTCGTTTCAAAAACACGTGACATGGATGAGGAGTTCAGAGCCAAACAGGATCGGATTACGAAGGCAAGACGAACGTTTACTGCTCTAAAATTAATGCTGAGATCTGCAGCATCCAGCACAAGTAACAAGATCTGAATGTTCAACAGTGGTGTCAAGCCAATGCTTCTTTATCTTTCAGATACTAAAGCGCTTTTCAGCTGAGGCATTTTCACCAAACTGTAGACTTTTATCAATAGCTGCCTTCGTTACTTCGATACTGAAGATCAGATAGCAGAACAGGAAGGAAAAACATATAATAAAGAAATCTAGCGGCCAATGTTATGCTATCCAGGAAAATGCAGAAAGTAATGTCACATTCTGTGACGGCACATGAATGGTAAGCGATGCGTTGAGCGTGGATACGAGGGTAACATAGAGAAGATCATGTGAAGGGGGAATAAACATTAATGGACAGTTGTTAAAGTGAGAGCAGGGAATATAATACAATGGAGATAAGTTATTACTTATTATTATTATTGTTTCCTTCAGTTCTTAGAGGAACATAGGGCTTCAGCCGAACGTTTCAATTACGTACTGTTCTCCACCAACGTTTTCACCTGTTTCCATGTCTGCCCACATCCTTTCATCTCCTATTAGCATCATCTCCTCCATGTCACCCTCGCACTCACGACCAAATCGCTGCTTCCCATTCGGGTTCCACTCTAGGAAAGACCTGGTGTGTGATGTCACACACTTGATGGTTTGTTTTCTCAGAGTATGGCCAATCCAATCCAACTGCATTTCTTCCTGCATATTTGTTGCACAATTGGTTCCTGCTGGGTTGGTTGGTTCGCTCACAGAGATCCCACGCTGTTGCTGATCCCTTATGGCCGGCCATCTGATCTTGAGCGAAGTATTGAGTGAGGACAATTAATGATAAAGGTGTGTCGTTTGTTCGAAGTGCCTTTTGTGACGCTTCAAGTCTCTGATCCATAAATTAGCACTGACTTCACATTGGAGTTGGAAATCCGGATCTAATTTTTTATGCTGAACGCTGAGTGCTGTTGATTTGCACACAAACTTGAGAGTGATGAAAGCTTGCCTTGCTTTCCAGATCCTAGCTTTGATATCCTTATTAGTTCCATCCTTCTGTACTTAAAACGAATCTTCCCAAGTAGTTAAAGGGGGTTGCTTCTTTCAGATTTCTTTCATTTATGCTGATTGTTGTCTGTTGTTGTTGTTGCTGTTGCCCAGGAATCTTCATCACCTCTGTTTTATCTATGTCCACCTGAATTCCTATCTTCTCCGGATGCTTCTTCTGCCAACTTGTTGCTTTTCACTTGCATATCTTCCACTTTATGGGAAATCAGGCATATATCATCGGCGAAGTCCGGATCCTCCAAGTTTTTTGTGTGAGTCCATTTTATTCCTCTCTTCTCACTACCCGGCTCACTGTGTGTCAAATTATCTAGTCTGCCGCAGTCAGGAAACTCATTGGAGATAGTAGGCAGCTAGCCAGCTTGTCTTACTCGCGTTTTCACTTCGAAGGA